ATACCACTACAGTGCAGTGATTTTACATTTTAGTGATATGACAAAAGACACCAATGTTCAATAATCAATGATGTTTTTATTTTAATATTTACATCCTATAAAACATGATAAAGTGGTTTTCATTAATAATTATACCGTAGCCTCTCCCAAACAGCTTTGGAATTTAACAGAATAAAATTTAAATGTATTCAAACCTCTTTATAATGTTTTATAGAATGTTAATGGTTACCATTTGTATCAAATTTCACATAAAATTAAAATTTTTAACATTTATTTCAAAATTTGTCGTCACAGATGTGTTTCATTAGTTCATGTTCAGTGTCTTCAAATTTAGTTGATCTAATCTGAAATTACAGTTTAGAATATAATTTTTTGTGTGTGCTAGTAAAACAATCGATTTGCATTACTCATCTGAGAGCAGACATTATTTTTAGGGCTTTGCAGAGAGATAAAGACGTGTTTGTTTCCACAGGCTACAGATGTCAAACACGTTCTACGAGTCTGCGGGACAGAACTGGTTCACTCTGGATAACGTGTACATCCATTACAACTGGACATACGAGGCCACGTTCAACGCTACAGATGTGTACGCACCCTCCACCAACTCCTATCACTGCCAGCACGTCAGCAGCCTGCAGAAGTACGACACACTGCTGGTGCCCAGCGCCAACACCGACCACGCCGCACACTGGCACATAACCTTCACCGACTTCCAGGTTGGCAGGCAACACTTTCCCTCCATCCTCCGCTGATAAGCACCTCATACTGGAGTTGTAGCATCTTGCGCTGTATTTTTAGCCTCTGGTGGGTGTAATGTGGTTACACAAGCTTGTGGTTTGGCGTGAGAGCAGCATCTTTTTAAAAAGCTCACAGTCCAGAGTGTGTGGAAGAACACGAGGAGTTTGGGTGAAATTAAATGCTTTTTAATTTGGAATATAAAAAAAGAATTATTCTGCTTTGCCTGGAAGCCTGGAACATCACTGACCATTTCTACAACATAGAGAAGTCGAAAATACTTTATCAAGTAGAAAAACAGATTAGATAGACAGACAGACGGATGGATGGACAGAACGAACGGATGAATGTACGATAGATAGATAGATAGATAGAACGACAGATAGATAGATAGATATATGGATAGATAGAAAGATAGAACGACAGATAGATAGATAGATAGATAGATAGATAGATAGATAGATAGATAGAACGACAGATAGATAGATAGATAGATAGATAGAAAGATAGAACGACAGATAGATAGATAGATAGATAGATAGATAGATAGAAAGATAGAACGACAGATAGATAGAAAGATAGATGATAGATAGATAGATAGATAGATAGATAGATAGATAGATAGATAGATAGATAGATAGCTAGAAAGATAGAACGACAGATAGATAGAAAGATAGATGATAGATAGATAGATAGATAGATAGATAGATAGATAGATAGATAGATAGATAGATAGATAGACAGACAGACAGACAGACAGACAGACAGACAGACAGACAGTTAGATAGATAGATAGATAGATAGATAGATAGACAAGTTGTAAACTGGAAAATAGTTTTTAAGGATTCAACATCTTACCATCTGCTGTTTCTTGTGTTTTTCCTCACAGATCCAGGCGTTTAACGTTCACTCCAGTAAGTTTGCGGCGGCCAGCGACTGCGCGACCTTCTTCACTCCTGCCATCCTGATGGGTCTGATCACGTCTCTGATCCTGCTGCTGGTGCTGGCCTACGCTCTGCACATGGTGGTTCACCTGAAGCACATCGACCGCTACGAAGAGCACAAGACCACCGTCTACTTCCCACGCAGCACAGAAGCGGAGAGCACAGAGAAGAACAACCTCTAGAGTCCCGAGAGAGAGACGGACACTTCTGTGACTGTGAGCTCTGACTCCCATCTGAACGGAGAATCAGAGCTGTTTGGGACTGACTGCACCACGGCAGTGGCATCATTGTGGTGGGACAGTGGAAGTCCGAATCAGGTTCCTTCGGGAGCTTTACAGGCTCGGCACACTGGAGGATTTGGAGATATCAGCCAGTTCTCACCAAAAATCTAGGAATTAATCATTCAGTGTCAGGTTTCATGAGTGGAAGGACATCTTCAGATGTTTGAATGCGATTTGAAATAGCACAATAATCAATATATCTTGCATTTGCATCGTCTGTCTTAGCTTCTGTTTGACTGCTAAGGACCAGATTTAACTTCAGTACTGATGCTTCTCTGAAGTCAACATGAAATGGTGTTTCGTAAGCAATTTACAGTTGTAATTTTACATATTTGCGAATAAAATATCTTGATTTTTTCATCTGGAACTGATTGGATGGTATTACGGAAGCCCATTACCGCTACAGAATGAAAAATATTAAAAAGGTAATTGCGACTTTTTATCTCACAATTCTGACTTTATATCTCGTAATTCAGAGAAAAAAAGTCAGAATTGCAAGATATAAATATAAAAGGTTGTATCTTGCAATTTTGACTTTTTTTCTCTCGTAATTCTGACTTTTTTTTAATCTTGCAATTATGTTTATATCTCACAATTATGTTTATATCTCGCAAATATGAGTTTATATCTCACAATTCTGAGTTTATGTCTCGCAATTCTGAGTATATATATCGCAATTATGTTTATATCTTGCAATTCTGAGTTTATATCTCACAATTATGTTTATATCTCGCAAATATGAGTTTATATCTCACAATTCTGAGTTTATGTCTCACAATTCTGAGTAAATATATCGCAATTATGTTTATATCTTGCAATTCTGAGTTTATATCTCACAATTATGTTTATATCTCGCAAATATGAGTTTATATCTCACAATTCTGAGTTTATATCTCGCAATTCTGAGTTTATATCTCACAATTATGTTTATATCTCGCAAATATGAGTTTATATCTCACAATTCTGAGTTTATATCTCGCAATTCTGAGTTTATATCTCACAATTATGTTTATATCTCGCAAATATGAGTTTATATCTCACAATTCTGAGTTTATATCTCGCAATTCTGAGTTTATATCTCACAATTATGTTTATATCTCGCAAATATGAGTTTATATCTCACAATTCTGAGTTTATATCTCGCAATTCTGAGTTTATATCTCACAATTATGTTTATATCTCGCAAATATGAGTTTATATCTCACAATTCTGAGTTTATATCTCGCAATTCTGAGTTTATATCGCAATTATGTTTATATCTCGCAATTCCCAGTTTATATCTAAAAGTTCTGAGTTTATATCGCAATTATGTTTATATATCGCAATTCTGAGTTTATATCTTACAATTATGTTTATATCTCGCAAATTAGTTTATATCTCACAATTCTGAGTATCTTACAATTCTGAGTTTTTATCTTGCAATTATGTGTTTATATTTCGTAATTCTGAATTTATATCGCAATTATGTTTATATCTCACAATTCCGAGTTTATATCACAATTATGTTTTTATCTCACAATTCTGAGTATCTTACAATTCTGAGTTTTTATCTTGCAATTATGTTTATATCTCACAATTCTGAGTTTTTATCTTGCAATTATGTTTATCTCTCGCAATTCTGAGTTTATATCGCAATTATATTTATATCTCGCAATTCTGAGTTTTTATCTTGCAATTATGTTTTGTGAGAAAAAAGTCTGATTTGAGAGATATAAACTCAGAATTGTGAGGAAAAACATCTGAATTGTGAGATAAAAAGTCACAATACCTTTTTTATTTTTTATCCTGTGGTGGAAACGAGCTTCCATAGGATGATAAAACACATGCACAATGAATCACAATAAATCCAGGAATGTGTATTAAGAAAGTATTTTGATTTCATGTTGACTTTGACGTTTTAAACTGTGAATAAACCAATATGATAAGGTAATATAGTTTTAATTTGCGGAACAATGAAATAGATGAAAAAAGGAATGCATTTCCCCATCGATTATGAAATTGGAGCTGATCAGCAAAACCTAAAACTCAAATTAATAAAACATACTGCGTAATGGTTTAAATACAGTGTGTAACCAGAAAATAGATGTTTAATTTTCAATTGCAATTTCCCCTTGAAGAGTTGCAAAAAAAAAAAAAAAAGAGGAAATAATTTTATTAATTACTGATGTTATTTTGAGAAATGTATTTTTAAAATGATTGTGTTATGGTATTTTTGTGTATACTGTATGTTAACTCTGGTTTTTGTAATATCTTATTTTATTTTTTATTAGTCTTTTGTGTATGTTTTTGGCTATGGTGAAGAGCGGCTTCTTACATGGATTTTTAATCAACGACTGAAGCAAAACAACAATGGAAGCAACATGACGTTTGTTGTGTAGTGAACATGCAGCATGCCAGTGGCTAGAGACATTTCCGAACCAGACGACTGAAGCAAAACAACAATGGAAGCAACATGACGTTTGTTGTGTAGTGAACATGCAGCATGCCAGTGGCTAGAGACATTTCTGAACCAGAAGAATAAGATGGTTTGCTTTGTACCATGTACTGTATATTGGTAATAATCATAATGTGCTAGATAAGGGAAAATACTTTTTTTTTTCATGTACACATGTATTTGGGAACATATTATTAGCTTAACTTTGTTCCGCGGACATTTATGCAGATAAAATGGAGAGATGTGAAATGGGGTATGATGTATTAATGTTTGATGATCATTATTGTCCTCTCAGTTGAGTTCAATAAAACCAGCAGCACAGTTATGTTGCAAAATTATTTTGTTCAGTTTCCAATTCAATCCATTTATATTAAGTAGACTAAAAATACATTTATCAAATACAGTTTATTATAACAATGAGATGTTATTTCGACAAACTATAAGCTCCAAAGGAATCAACCATTTGCGAACAGCGCCACCTAGTAGCATTATAAAATACTCAGTTATGAGTTTAAATTATCACTTTCTAAAATTCCAAAATGTCTAAAACATCTTAGAGCAGGGCTTTTCAATATTTTCAATATTTATTTAAAAATTCAAAAGGCATTTATGCAGTTTCTTGTATAAAGACCCAATTTATACCTTTTATATATATATATATATATATATATATATTATTTTAATCTAATTTGTATAAAGACACAATTTATACTGTGAAAAATATAATAAATAAATTAATAAATATATAAATTTAATTGAATATTTTGTTTTTTTAAATAAAATTTCTCTCTCTCTATGTATAGGCCTATGTAAAGTAAAATATTTAAAAAATATTAATAAATTATTAAAAGTTTAGCTTCCAAGTCAAGTCATTACGTATTTTTCTAACTATTATACAGTACTGTTAGATATTTTATGCATTTATTTAATCCAATTTGTATTTATCTATTTTAATCTTACATTCTATAATTTACTTACGCCGTTTTTCTCTTTTCCACGGACCCCAGAAAACCCCTGGCTTACAGGATACCACGCACATGTTGTAATAACCTTCTAACTTAAAGTATTTATTAAAAGGAAAAAAAAAAAGTTAATTTAAAATCAGAAAAATTTGTCGAATCATGTGTTTACTTGAGTTATATTGAGATCAGCGTTTTCGTTAAAAATCTTTTTCAAGGAAACTTAGTTTACTAATACAATAAAGGATTTAATCGAGGCGAAATAAAACAGAAAATAAGAATCGCAATTTCATTTTATTACGCAATTCACGAATCTAGTATTCTGAATGAGAAGATAACGTTTCGATCGCGGCAGCCACCAGGAGTTTCTCTCAGCCGTGCTCATGTTGAATCAGGAGTCACTCTCAGCTCAGTTATTTTTCCTAGCCCACAGAAATCTCTTCACCACCCGGTTTAATATGAATCTGGAGAGATGCGTGCCGTGCGAGGCCAAACTGAGCATCTCCTTCAATCTGGACGGCAGCAATAAACACATTCTGAGAGAGCAGACAGAGCCGCTGGGGAAAGTTCTGGCTCGAATAGCCAACAGCCTCATCAAGGCACAAAGCAAAGCGAAGAAATCCAAACCAAACAAAGGAAAAAGTGAGACCCCCAGTGCGGATAAACCAGAAATCAGCCTGTGCGTGAACGAAAAGCTGTGCTGCATGTGGGGGGCTTGAAGTATAAAGTGGGGCTGAATCCTCCGACATTCTCTATATCTGAGCTCCCATCATCTCTAATGGCCGGATTTCCGGTTTGTCCCAAGCTGGAGATGGAGTTTGGAGAGCTGAAGTTCTCTGAGTTCAGATGGTTCAAGGAGCGCTCACCTAATGCACCTCAAGACTGCTGGATGGAGGTTGGATGTGAACGTATGTTCACGCCATCCAATCTGGACATCGGTTTGAAGGTGATGCTGAAATGCACTCCAGGGAACGGATCCAGGTTTGGAGAACCTAAGGAACTGGTGTCTTCAGGCGTAGTCGAAGCCGGTCCAGGAACATGCAGCTTTGATAACAGGCACATGTTCACCGATGAGTCTTCACTGAGGGTTGTGTCTGATAACATCCTAGCTGACATCTACGCTCAAACCGATCTTTCCAAAACGGTCCTGTACTCTTATTGTGCGCCGTACACTCTAGAAATGGACTACAGGCAGAATCTGATCAAGAAGGAGCTGTCGGGGTACAACGCTGACATCGTTTGCCTCCAGGAGGTGGATAAAGGCGCTTTTGTAGATAGTTTATCTCCTGCGTTGGATGCGTTTGGGTTGGACGGGGTTTTCAGGATCAAGGAAAGACAGCACAAAGGTCTGGCCACGTATTTTAGGAGGTCTAAGTTGAAGTTGCTCCAGCAGTATGATGTGATGCTGAGCGAGGCTTTGACAACAGATCCTCTTCATCGGGAGCTGCTGGAGAAAGTGTCCACTAATCCCAGCTTGATCGAGAAGATCGAAAACTGGTCAACAATGCTGCAGGTGTTTCGCTGTAACTTTGGGGTCTCAACCTGTTTGACGCCAAGACCTGCAGTTGTCCACAAAGGCCTCAGATGTTTGTGATCTACTGGATGAGGATCCTACCCAATAAAAATATTTGACCTAACTTAAAAAAAAAAAGGAAATTAAAATTTTGAATTTTATTATATATTATATAAAATTTTTAAATTCTAAATTCAATTCAAATTTTACATTACAATTTACAATACTTTTACAGGTCACATTTTTTAAATTCGACTACCTCATATATCTAGGATTTTCAAGGATTTCTGGAAATCCTAGTTTATTTAAAGGGGTCATATGATGCAATTTCAAGTTTTCCTTTCTCTTTGGAGTGTTACAAGCTGTTGGTGCATAAAGAAGATCTGTAAAGTTGCAAAGACTAAAGTCTCAAATCCAAAGAGATATTCTT